ACAAATGAATTAGGTAGATCGAAAAAAAATTCCAAATAATGAAATTAATGAAGTTCTCAAGGTAAGTTTTGATGGTCTTGATGATTCAGAGACGTATCAATTCCTTGATATCACTTATTTCTTTAAAGGGTATGATAAAGATGAAGTAATGAGTATATTGGGCAGCATTGAGTTTCCCCCACGAATTCCAGTTCTTATCGAACGTTCCTTGATAACTATCTCACACGCCAATAGGTTGTGGATGCATGATTCGATACAAGAAATGGGTTGGGAAATTGTTCGTAAAGAATCACTTGATCCCGACAAACGCAGTAGATTGTACACTCATAAAGATATCTATAAAGTACTCAAAGAGAATACGGTATGTTCACCCACATATAAATTCTTTCCACATGCAATTAGTTCATAAAACATAGGCTTTTGCTTTATCTTCTTCTTTTTTTGTTTTTTTTTTATTTTCTACATATAAGCAGCTGCAAAACTTGTATTTCTCTAATAATTAGGTTTTAACATAATGTGGTAACTTACACTATGTTCTTGATAATCAGGGGACAAAAAAAATTAAAGCCATCATGCTAAACATACCTCATCACCGTGTATCAGAGGAGTTACATGTAAATGTTAATGTCTTTGTGAAGATGAAGAGACTTAAACTCGCTCAAATTTAGTGGCATACGGCCTCGTGGACGCCTTACATATCTTCCAAATGAATTATGTTATCTTCATTGGGAAGATTACCCGGAAAGATTTTTGCCATCCAATTTCCATCCAGAAAATCTTGTTCAACTTCACCTTCCCAATAGCCAAATCCAACAAATTCCAATGGACATCGAGGTATGATGACAGTTTATTTACATATGAATTGTATTGTTGGTTGTATTGAAACTGATTTATTTTTTGCATTGTTTGTTTGCTTAACAGTTAGGGATGTTAAAACATCTCAATTTCGGCTACTCCCCATATTTGGAAAAAATTCTTGATCTGTCCAATTTCCCACTTCTTGAGGAATTAAATCTCGAAGGTTGTGAAAATCCAGTTGAGGTTCAGCTTTCCAGTGGAGTTCATGAGAGGCTCCTTGTTGGAAAGATTAAATCCAAGTGAAAACAATTTCACAAGCATACCAGCAACCTTCAAACAATTCACAAAGCTCACATATCTAAATTTGAGACATTGCACAAGCCTCCGAAAGTTGACGTCACTTCCATCATCTATAAGGTGTGTTGATGCAATTGGTTGCAAATCATTGGAACAGTATTGGTTTCCACCAAGTGTAGGCAGTCCAGACTATCGGCAATTCAGCTTCACAGACAGCTACAACATGCCAAATCAATTATCACAAAGTCAACTTCAGGTTCATCCCTCCTCTGTCTCTCTTTATATAAAGTAGTATATATATACATATATATGAAAAGTTAGCTTGCCGATCTTTATATATGCATGGAAATGGGTACAATAATTGTTCCTGGAAGTGAGATTCCGCAATGGTTTAAACATAAGAATGAGGCTGAAGGATCTAACTGCTTTTTCTGGGTAGATCATCCACTGTCTTACAATAACGTCAAAGGAATTGCCTCGAACAATTCCGTGAAACCAAGCACCCAAAGATATTCTTGGACCTCCACGTCATTGGTGAGTCGGGGATCCGCTTTTATGGTACCCACGTTAATGTACGAGAGATTGTGTCGTCAGATCACGTCATTTTCATTCACAAAACCGAATATTATGATGTGCTCATACGAAGATCCATTGGCCTTGCCAATATTCGTGATGATGCCTCTTACATTCAAGCTTTAGTATACTTCAACTACTCAGCACAAAAACTGAAGGTCAAGAAATTGGGTGTCCATCTAATTATGAGAGGAGGAGCAAGCTGAGACGTCAAAGCAAGGTGTGTGACACACTAAGTGAGTGCAAATATTCAATATTATTTCTTCAAACTTAATTTTTCTAGGCTTAATTAATTACGAAATCGTCATGATTTGAATCGGAGTTTCACGTTTCACAAGTTAATATGTTAGTTTTTTTTTTTTTATTATTGAATTTATAATTGAGTTGACACCTAATAAAAAAAAAAATAGGAATGAAAATTTTAAAAGAAATTTAAGTAGAAAAACAAGTTTATAAGGAAAATTGAAGAAATTGCTTTCCATAGTATTGGATTTTGCTCATTCTTTTTTCTTTCCATAGTATTGGATTTTGCTTTTCTTTTTCTTTTTCTTTGTCGTCTTTAACTTGCTCATATACCCACAGTGATGGGGAAAAAAAATGTAATCGAACAACAATCTAAGGTTGTCGTACCTTTAATTCAGTTGTGGAAATGCTCATCAAACAAGAAGTAAATAATGGTATCACATGTGATGTTATATTTATCATATTAAAACACTAAAAAGTCACATTTAATATTAAAAAAGGACTATGTATGAATTCTATGTTTAAAAGCAAAATGATAAGCAAAGCAAAGCAAACTGTTCCGAAAAATATGGAATTCATGGCAAGTTTAAAAGCAAATCCTGTGATTAAAGTTTACAAGTTGCGGGTGTTATGACAATGGAATAATATTGTCGTCACATCCACCAACTACTAGCAACAGTGAACCACAAAGGTTGAACAAGTATTAGTTTGCTTCATTAGTAGCAAGTAAATTAAAATTCACTCAAAATACTAAACTATAAATTAAAATTCACTCAAAATACTAAACTAACTTATCCTTTTAACATAATGGGAAATTAAATAAGAAAAATATAAAAATAATATGAAATCAAGTACACAACATATAATAATCATAAATCTTCTCATTGCGTGATTAAAACATTCATCCGTATCCAAAAATCAAACACACTGATTGATGAGCAGAAAGAAATCGAAAATGAACCAAAATTATAGGATTGATAGAAACCCTAAACCCAAATTTACAAAATCAAACACACAGCAGATAGATGAGACCAAAAATCAAAGCATTGAAAGATAGAAACCCTAAACCCCAAATCAAAGATGGCTCAAAAGCTGCCTTTCTCAAACATCTGGCGTTGCCTCGATCTGAGCTTCTTGGGCATCTTCATTGAGAGGAATAGTAATCCAAAGAACACCATGCTTAAGCAATAGACATATATCCCTTCACGGAGGCCTTTGTAGAACCTTCCTTCATCCCCATACTTGGCCTCGCTCTTGCACTAATTCTTTGTGAGCAGTGAGGAAGAAAAAAAAGCACTCGCCACACAGGACTCGAAATTCTTGTTCTCTTGGATTTTGCTCATTCTTTTTCTTCATATGTCAGTCACAATTTATGAAACGGACAACAAAAAAAGAGCGGAGAGAGTAGTATTGGAAAATTGAAGAAATTGCTTTCCATGTTAATTAGGTGTACTGAGGAGAGCCATTGCAGACCCCAAGGCTCCATTTTAACAAAAATCCAAGAGGACAGTTCTATGCTTGTGAAACAGAAAAGGATCCTTTTAGAGATATTTCTGTATGTTGCCAATTTCATGTTTGGTTTCAAATGTAATTAAGAATTTCAATTGTGATGACAATGTGTTTTGTTTGTATTAAAATCTAGCTTTTTAATTTTTTCAATATAGGATTTGATCTTGTCACGCTTGCTTGTATAAGACTTTTGCATGTTAATTGATAATGTCCGTTTGTTTAATAAACTCAAATTGTTTTTAGTTCAAAATCACTGGAGCCTTAAACTCACTGTATGTCACTTGAAAAAATGAGCACAAATAAGAAGGAACTTCGTTTAATTTCATATCATAATGTGAACTTTGATACTATACATACAATCACTATTGCCACGAAAAAAAAAAAAAAAAAAAGGAAAAAAAAAAAAAAAAAGAACTTCATGTACAAGCATGCATTCTGCTTCACTTTCTTTTATTTCTTTTTTTTTTTTTTTTTTTTTTTTTTTTCCGGCAATTTACATTCAAAGTGGTATTTTTTTTAGTTGCTCCACATTAATTTATTCATAATATTAATTTATTCTCATTTTTATCCTTTGATGCACCAACATCATCATTAATTCAGGGTATTTCTGCAACTACAAGTTCCTAATTTCAAAGCATGAAAAACTGTCGCATGGAATGAGCTTTGGACATGTTTCTTTTGACCATGGACCAATAAAACGACAAACACAGCAAATACAGTGTACGAATCTCCCGCCATTACCGAGTCTAGAGAAGGCCAGAACCCTAATATTGTTCTGCCAAATCCAGCAAACCTACATATCCACAAAGATCATGCCTGGTGCACTTGGCCTCTGGTAATTCCAGGTTAGACCACAAATCACTCTAAAATTAATAATCACCCGGTCTTACATGATGCTCCTGAAATTGAAGTTCCTCGTCGTGTTCAAGGAAATTAAAACCATTGCCCCAAAACCCATTCTCACATTTGATCATATCAATTAGGATTTAAAGAAATTTAAAATAAAATTCAACCCACCTCCCTCAAGTTCTTTGATAAAATCCAAGATAGAAAAAGAAACAAAGAAAGGAATAAGAGATGTTAGACCGTAAAAACAGCCGAAGTGTAAGGAAGAAAGGAAGGCATTGACTATTGAAAATTTCTTATTTATAATAATAAATTAATAATTAATTAATTAACCCTTCAAATCTAAGTTACCACATAAAAAATAACCAAATTTCCCCATATGCTATGACATTCTTCCCAACAATAATTCATTCAAAAATGGTACTTCCTTCCACAAGGACCCATTCAAAGGACCACCCACTGACAAGATATTAGATACCTTTTACCAAACAGGACAGAGCTTAAAAAAATAAATTCAAAATTTGTGAAGAAAATCTTATGATTCAATAGTTGAGTTGCATAGTATATATAGAGAGAGTTCAGATGCATCTCTCCTATAATCAAGCAAGACAAATTCAGTCATTTATCAAAATGGAGCCTTAAACTCACTGTACACTGCTTTAAAAATTGACCACAATAAGAAGGAACTTTGTTCAGTATTTCACATCACAAAGTAAACTTTGGCACATTACTAATAAACAGAAAGAAAAATAATGAATTTCATGTACATTCAATAACACATTTTCTTACAATAATTCTTAGAACACATATACTTATGAAAGCACCTTCACTTTCTCAACTAGATTTCGAAACTGACATCCAAAGTCAGATATTTTTTAGTCTCTCCCCATTTTATAAAAACCTCAGTTTGTTTTCATAACAACATCAATATCAAAGCATGAAAAGTGGTACAAGGTTGGTCATGTTTCTTTTGACCATGGACAATCAAAACCCCTCAGAATTAAATGTGAGTTTGTACCAAATACTTAATTGTAAAAGGGGGCCCTCAGTGTGTTCAACGGATTCATTGATGATTGTTTAAGAGTAAAGGGGCGGCAAGCCCTTATGTCCTTTCTTCACTACGAAGAAGAAATTCTTCTTCAAATGCGAGTGTCGGGAAGGACAATATGCTTCCACCAAATCCAACAGACCTACATATTTAGCAAGGCTCATGCTTGCTTCACTTGGCCCGTGGCTATTATGGTTGGCCCCAAAACACAATGAAACTAAGAATCATTCACTCCTATTAATTAAGACCCACATTCAGCAGGGTGATATCACAAGTGGGTACATGCTACACCTTAAATGTAAGTTACTTGTCTCATATTCAATAAATTAAATCCATCCCCCCAAACCCCATCAAAACAAAAAAGGACAAACAAAGGAATAAGAGATTATATACCTTCTGACTAGGTGGTGGTCGTCGTTTATTTGTTTTACACCTTTGGAGCTTCCTCTCTGCTTCTTACTTTCTTTTAGCTACAAGTTTCTTGGCAAGTCACCACCATCTTCCCTATATGTAAACTCATTCTCCAAAGCAAAGTAGGAAGTTACCTGGACATCAAGCTCAGCCATCTGCTAGGATATAGAATAGCTTTCTGAAATATCATTATTAATCTCCAGATCTCTGGCTCTTAAGTAATTTTGTAAGCTTCAATGGCTTCTTCTTCTTCTTCCTCCATAGCTCAATGGAAATATGATGTGTTCTTAAGTTTTAGAGGTGAAGACATGCACAAGAACTTTGTCGACCATCTCCATGCAGCCCTACAAAAAAAAGGAATCGAGACCTTTAAAGATGACAAAAACTTGAGAGAGGAAAATCGATTTCAACAGCACTCCCGACGGCAATTAAGGAATCAAGATTTGTTGTTATTGTTTTCTCTAAAAACTATGCTTCTTCCTCGTGGTGCTTGGATGAACTTGTAGAGATCATTGAATGCAAGAACAAGATAGGACAGATAGTTTTTCCTATCTTCTACACTGTGGATCCATCCAAAGTAAGGAAACAAACAGAGAGTTTTGCAGAAGCATTTGCCAAACATGAAGAAAATTTTGGGGATGAAAAAGAAAAGGTGCAAAGATGGAGGGAAGCTTTGGTGGATGCAGCAAACTTAAGCGGGTGGGATTTAAACAATATAGCAAATGGGTAAAAGTCATTTTCCTACCCACATTGGATAAAATAGTCATTTTGCATGGTCTGTATTTATATTTATTTATTTATTCTGCCAAAATGAGGGTACTATTGTCATTTTAAGTCTTCAAGGGCCTATTTGCACCAATTCAATAGTATAGGGGTATTTTAAACTAGACAAGGACTATTTTGCACTACATCGATAGAAGAGGGGTTTTCTTGCACTTAACCCTATGCTTAACTGATTAGGAGTGAAGGTTTTTGATTCATCAAAAAACTCCAGAGGAATGAATGATGCCACTCTCTCATGCTTGGAAGTCTAATTGCTGCAGCATCTCCACGGTAGTTGTCTTCTATTGCAATGGCAATGGGGGCTTCTTGACAGTTATGAGAAACCTTTCCGACGTCACTTCTTCCAAAATCAACCAGCATACTGTACGTCTGTACATGCTCTGCACACTGCTTTTGATCATTAAGAAGCTGCATTTCCGTCATCTCATCGTCGTGTGGAGCCTTTTCTTCTTGCATGGCCCTTCTTGGGCTCTCCACTCACCAAAAACTAAACATTTACATGGCTGGCATCAGTAACAGTGGTCGCTGAGCATATCACGAGGAATCAATGGATGCGGGTGCATTTGTTGCTCACTTGCACAGTGGTTGTTGGTGGTGGGCATCGCACAATTAACGTTCAGGTCAAATTTATATTTCCGAACAATGGAAAGCAAAGCTGTCACATCTCATCGAGTCAGCATTGCAGTAAAGTAAGCTGATTTTGACTTGCTTCATGAGGTGATTGAAAGAAAAGAGTTGGGGGATGTTCCCTGTGAACAAATGATTTAACAATTTACTCACCCACAAAAAAAAAAAAAAAAAAAACATTGATAGTTAATTTTAACAACTAGTTAAGTTAATTACAAAAATGAATACTACCGTACTAATTTTAAATATGTATAAACTGCACGTTTATCCCATTGCATTTAACACATATCATTATTATAAAGAGAGACAAAAAATGATAAGATAAGAATGAATATATAACATATTCTATAATGTTGAACCTGTTTAAGTTGCAATTAAATAGAAATATCTAGTGTTCGGTGGCAGGATGACCACTACGAGGAACAAATAATTTAACACTTCCAATAATAATTGACTGATAAACAAAAAGAGTATGCACTACAATTCAAAATAGCATGCACATTTTTTTTCTTAGTTGAATTAATGATGCATTTAATATTATTACAAAGACGACACAAATGATAAGATAAACGTGAATATGTGAATATATTTATGTAACCATAGTGTTGAAAGTGTAAAGAATATTTATTTTACTTATTATTTAAAGTGAACTATTTTAAAATACCAAGATAAAGAAACAAAAATAAAAAAGTAAGAGATGATGGATTCGCATATGAATAAAACTAAAGAATTATAAAAATAAATAAAAACAATATGTATACATACATTAATATTTATAATAAAATGTAGTGGAATTTTGACGAAGTGGACTTGCAAAAGTGAAGGACAGAGAAGAGCAAGATATAATGAATGGGTATATAAAAAAAAAGACTAAGACTTATAAAAAAGAAAATCAATAGGAGTATAGAAATTAATAAAACATGTTTATATATATATATATATATATATATATATACACACAACTTATCTACAACAAAGGAAAAAAAGAAGATCAAAAACATGTCTCATAGCTCATAGGTGAGTGTGTGGTGAGAAGAAATGTCATGCGGATTTAGCATGGGCAAACACATGTCCTATGTCATGACCCGAAATATGGGTAGTAACAAAACAATATTAAAAAAAAGTTCCTTTAATCTCCAAGAGATAAACAAAGCAATCATCAAAAATAGATACAAATATCATCAACCAACTTCCACTGCGCTACTCTATTCATTGCCCAAATTTTTCATATACAATTCTCATAAATATATTTCGTGAACAAATGAAATCTCATTAATGATCAACTACTAAGCTTAGAATTATACACCAAAACCCTCTTTCACAATAGAAAGAAATCAATTCTAAATCATAGGGTACGATTAGGGGGTGCTAGAATGCAACAAGGGACAACAATCCATAGTTTGATCAGGGGGGTTTATTGCACTTTACCCTGAGGAGGAGGTGGTGTCATACTTATCGCTGCTTCGTTGCTAGTGTTATGTGATTGTTCCAGGTCGGGTTGTAGAGGTTGTGTTTGGTGTTGTCGTCCACATTTTTGCTTCGCCGTTGGTGCTATGTGACCTTTCCCGGGTCCGTTGCAGATGTGGTGTTTGGTGGTAGTAGAATGAGGTGGGATTGTGGGAACGGGTGCTAAAATGAGGTGGGGTGGTGGTGTGTTGTCCAATTTTGATTGGTTATTGAAATTTTATGACACGGCAGCACAAGTTTATAAAGCATCAAAACGGTGCAGTGCTATTATGGGTAATCTTGTAATATTCTTTTTTTTGGTACCGGAGACCTCTCCTATTGTCCTCAAATGCAACTTTTTAATAGTTTAGGGGGCTCTTTTTAATTCAGGGGGGTTTTGTGCAAATGCCTTATAGTTCAGGTGGATTTATTGCACTTTTCCCTAAAATCTAGGCAGCAAATACTTCAAAAATATGTAGAAAATTAGTTCGACACTAAATTTATATGGAAAGTGGACTTATGAAATAATAAAACTGGAAGTTTTTAAAATTTTCGAAGGTCAAGAAGTCAGCCAAATAAAATGTTCAAAATCTTATTTCAACCAGTGAAAAAATTCAGATTTTTATAAAAATATATGTTCATCCAAGGTACTAGGCATGTAGATGAACATGTAGTACAAAATTTAGATCATTTGGAAAACTACAACCCTTTGGAGAAATTATTGAATTGAAGCCCAATGAACCATTCTTGTTTGTTTCAAATCTCAAAATTCAAGCTACAACTCGTTTGAAATCTAAACAATAGTCCATAAAATTCCCACAAAATGTCCACAACTGATACGATTACATGTTTAGATCAAATTCTTAAATTACATCAATGTGCTAAAAAATAAGAGCATTTAAGCATTTACTCAAACACTAAGTATACAAGGTCATGCAAGTCTTTAATTTAGCAAAATTCCAGCAACTCCAAGTCTTGTTAATGACTCATTAAAACTACAATGATGGTGGGGTTAGACCAGGGGCGGAGCCAATTCAGGCATGGGGCATGTGCCCCCTAGCCTGGCCCGCCCAATAGAATATATATAGTTAATTTGTATTTTCTTTTTAAGCATGTATGAAAAATTATATATCGTCAAATTTATTTTCCATTCAAATTTCTTTTTTTTAAAGTCAAATTTTCCTTTTTGAATCATAGTCTAATTTATTTTCCATTCAAATTTATCTCAATTTTCCTTCTTTTGTCTTCCTTTTCTTTTTTCTTCTTAAAATTCTTCTTTTGTGCATGTGATTTATTTATTTATTTATTTTTAACTGTACCCCCTCCGAATTGAAATCCTGGCTCAGCCCTGGGGGAGACAATAAGTCCCAGCAGGAATTACACTAACAAAAGTAGCTAAGAGATTTCATGAAACCAAAGGAGCGTGATACCAAAAATGAGTACATTGGTATATCAACATATATATGTATACAAGATACTTCTCAACTAAGTAACATATTCAACAGATGATGGAGAATCAAAATGACCAAAGCAGGGAGAAACTCAAAACAAAATGATATACACAAGAATTGGGTACAACAAATATTCATGGCAACATCAAGAGATTGAAATAAAATCACCATATCTATCAAGGTTAAAGTAACCCTACCTTAGACAAGCATGAAAATGGAGATATGAAGAGCATGAAGATGATGGTTAACGGTACGTGGAGAACTCCCGGCCAACCCTTTTCTTCTCCTCTTATTTTCCAGCCCTTTCTTTCTCCTTCGCCGAACCCCACTCTTTCCTCTTCCTCTCGGTTTCCTTTCTTTTGCTCTGAATGTCAGATGACAGCTAGCATTTATTTATGAGGCTTGTGAGAATCAAAAGTCGTAGGTGGGGATGGTAAAGTTATAAGCAAGTGTATGGTGGAGATGAGATCTCAGGGCATGAAATGCATGAGAGAAACGTAGCCTTGAGGTGGCCAGGATGGATGACACGTGTAATCCACATCTAATTTTTCTAAATTGCATAACCACCACAATTTCTAAATAATCATAGACCAAGGTCCTCTAATTACTTACATTAACCACCCTACTAACTAAGGAAATCACAACAAGATCCAATCATCAAATAAATGATATAAAACTCCCAATTTAAATAACAAAATCTCCAAAATAAGTAAATCAGGTTACTAATCAAGATTAAAACCTAAATAAAAATCTAGAGTATTACATTGATCCTAGTTTATACAAGCAAGCTACATGGTCTCCACCAAATCAACCCTTAATTAATCACACAAACCACCGCCACTAACTAAGAAATCGCAAAAGACTTCTACTTTAATTTGCACACTTTAAAAAAATCCATTCCGCCCCATGTTTCCTTAAAAGACATAAAAACACCCAAATTTATTATATTAGTTCTATCAAATAACTCAGGACTAAGTCTAACTGAAAAAGTATCAATTGAAATTATAACTAGTCACAATTAAAAACACAACGGACGAACATGATCTTAGACAATTATTTGATCAATTGACTGTTGAAGGTAATATATCCAACGTATATTTATTCAAATATAATTGGTGAATGTAATTTGCTTTGTATTCAATAGTCAATATGAAACACTTGACCCTTAAATAAATAAAATCAGATTTAAATAACCTAAACAAATAAATAAATCAAACCTGATTTAATAAATAAACAAATAAATAAATCAATAAGCCCGTAATTGATTTGACCATCCAAATAGTGATAGGTTATATCTGATTAATTGTTTTGAAAAGTTAAACACGTGTGTGAATTGATTCCATCGTGATAATCATATAAGCTTACATCAATCACATAAAAATAATAAGCAATTAATATGTACAAGCAGGAAAGTAAAAAGAGTATAGAGACTTGCACACTAGATATAGAAGGAAAAATTCTTGACGAAAAAAAAAAAAAAAAAAAAGACGCCCTCAGGATTTGACTCGACCAAGAAATTCGCTATAAAAAAAAAAAAAAAGTATAACCAATCCAATTCACATCATGAACACTAGTCTATCTCCAGACTCAATAAGATAACAAATCCTCAATTCTAGTAATTCGCGTACAATTGATTTACTCAATGGTCAATTTGAACCCAATTACCCTACTGCATCACTTTAGAAGATCTCTTTAGTTGTCCTTGTTGGTCCTAAGGTTCCTTAAAAATTATTTGTCTATTTAATGTCAAAAAGCTTTGGTTCAATGGTTTTAAGTGTATACCCTATTTGCATTGTGGCTTAAAATATGATAGTGGGGCAGCATTGTCATTTACTCTGCAATGACAGATTTTTCGCATTGGCATGTATTAATTCATCATAGCTTGTACACTTGCTTTAGCTAAATTGGCTGTTTTCATTGAGGTTCAGTGTATAAGAAATTTGCTACAGGTGCTCACAGGGTATTTTAGTACTTTCTCAGCTATATTCTATGAATACTCATATGTCTGATTAGCTGCATTGCACTGAACAGCAGTGCTCAGCAACAGTATTTTGTTGAATGCAATATACAGCTAGTATAAGGGTGGTTTTTGAGCTTTCTTGGTATGCTCAGGAGTGTGACACGTGGCTGTGGTCCATGGAAATATATTCCTCTAATGATGTTGCAGAACTTAAAGGCTAAGCAAAGAGATCTATTTCATTAAGGCCTCACCTATATGAACTAGTTTTACTAGTGCACAAGGTGTCATTATGTGGTGAGATATAAAGGGTAATACTGTCCTTTCACTTAGAGAATGTCAGAATTGTTCTTTTACAATCATTGGTTGAATGGTGATAGCAATGAATTCAATGAAAAGCAGTCAAGTATTTGCACTGGTCTATATATATATTGTTATAGGAGCCTTTAGCGTTTTTGGCCTTAAAAATATACTAAAAGTTGAGCTGCAGCTAAGAACTCTCGAGAACCTCATGTTGAACAAGTTTTTCTGTGATTTGTGATGATGATTCATGCAAGAAAAACCCACTGATTCAAGCCTTGTGTGTGAACAAAGTGCTGAGATGTTGCTGTTGTCAAGTTTGCCGGTGCAAGGGCTAGATTGAGTAGTGATTTTGAGTTCCAAGCTGCTGTGGTCATTTTTGAGGGCCGTCACTGGTATAATCATGCTATTTACACTTGCTCAGTAGTTTATTTTGGACAAAAACTTACTGGAACTGAATTTGAATCTCTAGATTATGATTCAAGCTTATTTTCTGGTTTAATCTGTGATTTAAGTACAAAATGGTTAAGACTAGCTGTTTCATGAATTATCTTACTGCTAGCAAGTATATTTTGGTGAATTGAAGCTGTAGAAATTGACTGTGGAACAATATATTGGCACATTGTGGTATTGAACTTGTAGAACCCTAAAACAGTGTTATTTTGTGCTTATTGAAGTACTGAGACTTAACCTTGTGATATACTCACGCTATGCTGGACTGTTTAAAGATATGAACATGAGTACTGCAGTGAAATAAGACTGTGGAAGCTACTGGTGAACTGATCTTGAAGGGAAATTCTAATTTTACCCCTCAAACCCTAGCTGCAGCAGATTAGTGTTTTAAGGCAGTAACTTGGAGTTTTGAGCTGTCTAAGCTGTTTCACTTATAGAGAGGACTTGATTATATTGTTTATCATCTGTAATGGTGTATATGTTGAGCTATATGAGCTTTGTTGGTCCAGGGTGCTTAGGACAAAGGGAGTGTTTGTGTGCACTGTAATCAACTAATTTGTGTATTGGTTGTGAAAACTAATGTCTATTCTTGTGCTTGGGTGTGTGTAGAGAGTGAGACAGCTGAGTGTGTAACAAGGTACTGTGATACCCTCAGATTCCCAAATGCGGGTTGGCCAGGCCCACGTCCGAATACCCGAGGATATCAAAAACAAAATCGGCAATAAACGAACACAAAGTACAAAAGAATAAAGAAGAATAAATAAAATGCTGACAAGAAACTAAAATGATAATCTAATAATAAACCTCATAATATATTTCCATTAATTAATAAACTCTTCTAATACAACTGATCCTCCAAAATACAACTCGGGAATCCATACTGTGTGGACCCTTATAAAATCCAAACTAAACAAATGATAACAATAACTGTCTAAATCAGGAAATTGAATCATAAAGGAACTCCTATGTAGCATCGGAAGAATGAAGTAGACTGATCCCCGCTCAACACGAACAACCTCTACTCCTGACGAATACCTGAAAAATAATGGTGGGTCAGGCCCACAAATAAGTTCTACTCTATTACAGTCCAAGCAGAGATCCGATACACGTATACATCCTAGTCAATCCAACAGTAACTAGTAGTCCGTATATATATATATACACACTAAAGGAGCCTCACTAAACTATAGGGTTGTCTCAACCTGAATAGTAGGCAACATGCAAAACGCACATATAGTGAGCATGAGTACCTAGACCTACCAGGGTACACAACTACACTATATCTAACTACACATCCTTGGCGATATACGCACCATAACCACTGATCCTGAGACTCAAGCTCATATCATGGCACCATACTTATATATATATATATAATATAGTAACCATCATATTCAGTATAAATTAATCCTCTATAAGTCATTTAACTTGTTCAGCTGACCTGAGTTGAATATAAATAGGACTTAACATTTTAGTTAATCCATTCCATTATATAAAATAGGTAGGACTTAATTGATAAGTTAATCCATCCCTAGAATGCCACCGTTCCATACTGGTGCATTAAACCACACAATCCAACAATTGATGTAACGATTAAGGAAATACATCAAACAATCAAAAAATAACTATGATAATATGATATCAAGTTATCACAAAATAGGAATGACTTATTATTTATTTAAGCTTCCTATATCATATGTCCTACACAAACTGAATCTTATACATGATGATATTTTATTATACCGTCAAATAAGCATTCTCCATATCCAATTCATCCTACACATTTAATCTTAATTACTAAAACATTTTAAAAGATTAAATCCATTTGTTTGTTTAAAACATTTAATAGTAAGCATCATTATGATTGAGTCTATTTAAATTTATTTAAACTCAAACCTAGTTTCTATTTAATGTTCAGGAATTCTAGGCGTGTTTCTACATTCCATCATTCCACAGATATGAAAAAAATATAATTTAAACTTATAAAAATTCACACCAGAAATCAAATCAAAATCATGCATTTATCAATTCATAATACAAGAACAGATATGAACCAATTTCATAAAACCTATGTTCTAATCCAATTAAACATGCATAATTATTTAATTTTATGTGTTTAATAAATCCTGCAATTTCTTAGGCATGTACAAAAATACGAATCAAAGGGAAAGAGATAGAAGAAGAACTTGCCTTAAACTTTCGGATCGAAAGTTAAACTTCTTCTTCCTTGATCTTCTCTCTACAGAGTTTTTTTTTCATCCTTCCTTCATTTTCCTTCTTCTCTCTCTAACTCTCTCTCTCTCTCTAGAATATATCACGTGAATATTTCTAACCCCCTTTTACAACCTATAGTTATATATTTATAGGCTAAATAAAATAACCCTAACCCTTTTCCCAATCCAAGTCAACTTAAAAAAAATAAATATTAAAATATTAAAAAGATAAGTAAAATATGTTACGTATATAATTTATGTATATCTTTATTAAATAAATAAATTATACGCATCCCATTATTTATTAATGAATTATCCAATAATACTTAAGTTATCATAATATTATAAAATAACTTAAAACATAACACGTATCAAATGTACGTATATTTTTATTATATAAATAAAAAACATATACATCAGATTAAATATTACTACCCAAGTTACCATAAAAGTAATTAATAAATTACTTTCCCTTTTATATATATTAAAAAGGTAAGTAAAATATGTTAC